CGCCTGAGGCTCCCCTGCCCCAGCTCCAGACGGCGCCGTCGGCGGTGAGAATGAGGTTGTGCACGTCTCCAGCCGACACAGCGACGACGCGCTGGCCAGCTAAGGCCTCGGTCTTCTTGGGCAGCAGCTGCACCTGTAGGTTGCCGTGGCCAGCTCGCCAAAGAGTCCACTGCCCCAGCTCCAGTTGGCGCCGTCGGCGGTGATGGCGAGGTTGTGGTGCAGTCCAGCCGACACGGCAACGACGCGCTGCCCAACCAAAGCCTCGATCTTCTTCGGCTGCAGCTGGTCCTGCTGATTTCCGTGGCCCAGCTTGCCATGGTATCCGTAGCCCCAGCTCCTGATCGGGAGGGAAACCGCACGGCAAGGGCAAAAGAGACGCGGCTTGCCTCTGTAGGTGTCTTCTGGCTCGACAAGGGCGAGTTCTTCACCTATTTTGACACGGTGTACATCTACACGGCCATCGCAGAGCAGATTGTGAATGAGCTTGCCAGCGGCGGGGGCGGTCGAGTGCACGGAGCTAAGTGCCTCGCCGTCCTCGCGGGAGTCGCTTAGGCGGCTCCAGTGGTGTACCTGTGTTAGTGCCAGTGCGCGCCAGTCCCGTGCCCAGTGTTGTGCGACAGGCGAAAAATTCTTGTTTTGCGCTCGACTCGCCGGGCTGTGTCCACCCTGTGTCACCGCCGCACGCGCTGAGCCATCTTGTGGCCTCGAGTGGAGGTTTGTCTCTCATGCCGGCGAAGGTCCTGCTTATTGCCTCTGTCCTTGTCGTGCCCGCACAGGCTCCGCCACCGACGATTCACCCGGACTGCAATGTTGTGTGCGTTGGCGTCCCCTGCGGGACGTTCTACGACACCACTTGCTCAGATCAAGCGGTAAAGTTGCCATCGTGCAACTGCGGGAATTGCTGTCGCCCAGACCCGCCCGCCACCCAAGCGGTCGCCGCTCACGCAACGCCCGCTGCTCAGACGCCGGTCTTCACCACGCGTGGGCCCAACAGTGTGGTCCTCTGGCAGCCTCCTGGCCCGGGCCGCAAGGCTGGCGCGTGCGCTGGGCCGACGACGATGCAAGCGGATCCCATCTGGCAGGCGGTGACGATCGCCGAGTGCCAAGAGTACTGCGGTGCGCGCCTGACTCTATAGATAGAACCTCGCGCCCACCCCACCCCAAACTCTCGACCACTCTCACGCAAAGTTTAGCTCTCGACATTGAATGCGTCGCGATCGAGTTCACGGAGTTCGTCCCAAAGTGGCAGCGCTTGTACGCACGAGAGTATGCACGCTGCATGGCCATCGACTTGCCCTCCAAAGTCACGCACGTCTTGCCGCGTCCCGACGGCGCTCGCTGCCTCGTCAAGCCGGCGCGCGCTCTGCGCCTTCGCCTGCTTCGCCAATCCGCCATCTCCGCCTCTTAGCACTACGATCTCCTCCACCATTCTCTCCTCCGACCCCTGCAGACGCGCGGTCTCTGCCCTCCCCCAACGCGCACTTGCCCGTGCTGCTGGCTCGCCGGGCCCGGCGTCGATTTCAAGTACGGCAGCACGCCATGCGCCGAGCTGCAGAACGCCGATCTCAGCAACATGAACCTCGAAGGCACGTGACGTCCATGCAAGCGCCACCGCCCGCGCGGGCCTGGCACGTGGAAACCCCTAATACGCCCCCTCGCCCGCGCAAGGTGCCAAACTGGACGGCGTGGACATGCAGTGCGCCAAGCTGGACGGCGCGTCGCTCAAGGGGGCCAGCTTTGGCGGCGCGAATCTCAAGTCTGTCAGCTTCGTCGGCGCCAACCTCGACGGCGCCGACTTCACACCAGGCTGACGCCAACTTTGTAACATTTACAGGGGGGGGATCCTCTAGATTTACCCGCAGGATCAAGCTGCACTGCCGTGCTCCTCTGCTCCTTTTTT